GAGAAGCGTATTCTTGTCTCCAGCTGATTGAAAATGTCTCTGTGAGACTTCTATCCAAGAAGGAAGTTAGATCATAAGTCTTTTATTTTGGCGGTCTCATATTGGATTGTACCATTGATTTTAAGATCATCAGTCAAAATGATCTAGCGCCTGTTTAATGCTTGCAGCTTTTCAAGTCTTTCTTACAATCAGCCACTTTATCACCTGCCGCGTTTTATGTGTTACATCATAACTCTTCTCTCTCATTTTGTGTCAGTGAGGAACTTTATATGCTGTTTTAAAAAGTCAGATATGGACAAAGCTATTGCTGCTACTTATCCAAAAAAGATTTATATGATTGTTGTCTTTGCTTTCCATAAATAAATGAGTCTTAAACCTACAGGAATGTGGTGCTGAAATCAGCTTTAACAGGCAAAGACATCATTTAAAGCACACGGGGGTTTGTGTCGCTGTTTCAATAAGTAATGAGAGACACTTGAAGGTTAGTCATCATCTGCATGCTCCCTGGAGTTTCTGTGGTACATTAAAAAAACATCAGAGCATCCTTCCTGTGCATGCCTGTAACATGCAAACTGTTTATTACCCTAAGTGTTGGGTTGATTTCACTGCTCGAGGTCTGTTGGCCTGGGTTTGCTTCAGGACCCCGTTCCTGTGGAGAGGGGTTGTGAGGGTCCCCTGGTTTGTTTAGCCTCCTTATGTTTTGTGTGTTTGATGCAGCAGGTTCCTGCGGCGTGAAGCACCTGGGCCCGCTGTTTCCCTGCTTTAAAGCACTTCATGGTCCTGCACAGGTATATATGTCACACATGCTCACAGTGTGCCCCTCAGGTTGTCTGGCCTGTTAGTAGTTCCAGAGTGCAGGATTAAAACCTTTGGCATGGCAGCCTTGAGCTTTTAGTCGCTGTCAGTCTGCTAAACTCAATACTGACCTCTTCAGCCTGGCTTTTAACTAGGAATGGTTTTCAGACGTTATTTCCCTTATTTTATACAGTTACTTTATTGTATTTCCTTGTAAATTTCATGGCTGACTTATTTGAACAATGTCCTTATTCTCAACAATATATTCTTTTTCACCCTTCTTATTGATGTTATTTGTTATTTACTTCTTAATCTAATATATTTTTAGTATAGCTTGTATTGAACACTATTGTTATAGATTTAGAAGATTTTATTGTAATTTTTATCTTTGTATTTTATGTTTAAATCAACTATATTTAGTTCATTCCATTCTGTGTTTGTGATCCTTTCTTTTTCAATCATATTTGAAGCACTTTCAACCCTGTCTCTCTCTCTCTCTCTTCCTCTCTCTCTCTCTCTCTCTCTCTTCTCTCTCTCCTTTTTCTCTCTCTCTTTTGTCATGGCTTCAAAACCAGGCCATGACAGCAGCAGGATACCACAAATTCCCAGAATACATTAACTTCGGTAATGACATGAAGACCAAGGCAATCAATAAAACGCTCAATACACATGTATAATTCATTAATTATTATTATTTATTCCCCCAAATTAAAGGGAAACGCCACCAATTTCCCACATAAGTATCTATTTACTAGTAGGGAGTATCACTCCTAATGATGTCAACAGAAACCCTCTGTTACAAACTAGAGTATGGAGTTTGAAAGATGTGGCAGAAAGGGTCTAATGATAGGACGCCATTGAGTTGCACCATGGGAAATGTAGGAACCCGTTCTTTCAGAGCTCAACCCATACTATAAGTCAAGAGTTCTTGGCCTCTGCGGCTACGATTTTGATCGTTCCTCTTTTAATCTATCTCCCGAGAGTCCCCGAACTTTATGAAAGTGCAATATAAAATTGCTGGAGTTCCACGTTAATATAGTGTTTACTTTTCATCATGCTAACTCGTCTCCTCACTTCCCTCAGGACGTCCCAGGGGCTGCTAACGTTAGCTCAGC